AGCAGAGTGTATGACAGTTACAGGAGGAGGAAGACCTATGTCTGTCTTCTACACACACGTTCATACGTACGTAAATACACCACTGGTGGCGTGTGATTTTAGGTGTGAAAATTACTCCCTTTCCCTTTCTTCTGATTACAACTAGAGGGAAAAAATCTGAGCTTTATACTTTCATGTCTTTTGCATCTTTGGGTGTATGCTCATCTTTTAAAAGAAACGAAGGAAAGATTGCACTTTAGACTCAGCCTTTGGGAAGCAGAATTATCCAGAGAATTTAATCATGTTCTATTTTCCTTGTAATGAATTTTTAGTGTTACCTTCTACGTAGGACTGTGGGCTGGAGCAGTGTCTCTCAAATTTTTTTTTTGCCATAATCCACAATAAGAAATATCATTTGTGTCATGAGCCAGTGGTCACATATGCAAATATAACAGAAACAAAAATTTCACCTAGGATTAGTCAGTGTATTTTATTATTTTCTATTTTGTTCTGTTTTACTTAAATTAGTTTAGACTTAACCTTGAGAAGGTTTTCATCCAGTGAGTTAGTTAAATTATGATTTGAAGAAAAGTGAAAGACTATTCTAAAATGGAAGGAATGGTGTGAAAAAGGAAAAGAAATGTGTGATAGGACTTTTTTCTTTATACTTTTAAGAAAATTGTCTATGCCTAGTAAATTATATTCAGTTGTTATAACAGACGGTTTTCTGAACATTTTTCCTGGTCTTGTTTTTGCATTTAGTGCTTACATTTATAAAGTTGTAATTATTGCAGATATTTTATATTTTCCTGTGCCTTATTAGATATTTTCATATTTCTGCATTAATATTGTGTATATTAAGTTAATTTTCTGTCTTTTAGTATAATTTACTAAATCTCTTTCTGGTAATTTTTTTAAACTGTAATATAAAATGTTGATGTAAAAATAATCATGATTATGGCCTTTTGCTTCTTAAAATATATAAAGTCACTGGTAAAAATGTATAGCTCTTGTATGTAGTGCCATACTACTTTTTTCTTCCAGTTACCGTATTTTTCAGTTCTGAAATTTCCATTTGGTTCCTTCTTGTAGTTTTCATTCTGTGCTAAAAACATCTATCTTTGCATTTGTTTCAGGAGTTTTCTCCTTTACCTCATTTTAGAATAATTATAACTTCTTTAAAGTCTTTGATAATTTCCACATTAGCATCATCTTGGGGTTGGCATCTGTTGATTATTTTTTCCCTTGACCAGTGTGGACAGATTTTCTAGTAGAGTGTGTGTGTGTGTGTGTGTGTGTGTTGGTAAGTCAACTAAATGGTTCATTTACTGGACATTTTCAATGTTGTATTATAGCATGTCATTAAAATCCTCTGAAGAATGTTGATTTTTGTTTAGCAGGCATTCAGCTTGGTTTGGTTCAGGATGCAAGCTCTGCTTTGCCTTTTTAGGTGGTTTCAGTGTCAGTTCAGTTTTCAAAGCATTTCTTCTGCTGTTTAGGTGTGCCTAACACATGCGCCACTCAGTTGTTGTCTGGGTATGGGTAGTGATTTACACAGATATTAGTTCTCAGAGCCTTTGCTGGGCCTCTTTGGATCTGTTCACACAGGCACAATTTTAGGACGAGCCCAGGACTTAAGTTAGTTGACACACAGAATTAGGGGCTCCTCTCCTCTGGCTTTCTCTGGGATTCCAGTACTCTCCCCAGAGCCCAGGGCATCTTTTCCCCTGTTCTCTGGCCAAAAAGTAAAACTTCTGTCCAGGTTTAGCCTTCAGAGGTGAAGTGGCAGGAGAGAGAAGAAAATGGTACCTTGTAGATAGTAGAGGCCCTTTCCCTAAGTCTGGAGGTGGCTTTTCTCTTGGGGTTTTGGTGCTGGGGTGACAGCAGTAGCTGCCCTTTAACCCTTAGCAGGGCCAAGAAGGAAAAAGGAGTGTGGGAAGGAGGTTTTCACCCCACCTTCTCCTTCGCAGTAGCATGGAAGAGTCCTTTTACCTAGCCTTCTGGCCGTACAGAGTTTCCTCTCGTACTTTTCATTCTAGTACTGACTACACTGTTTGATAATGCCAGCTCTGAAATCAAAGCTGGGAGATAGCAGAGGAACATAGACCACTGCGAAATTTACCTTGACATCCACACATAGCTCCCTGCCCCCTGTAACTGGTCATTTTTCATGTTTGACTCCAGTCGGTTTTGTGTTCTCCTTTTCAGGGTCCTCAGGTAGTTAACTTCTTGTATTTAGTCTGTAGTATTTACTTGAAATCAGTGGGAGGGAAGGGTTATAGGTAACTTTCTCCATCTTGGCTGACTATAACTCCTGTATACTTTTTTGAAGAGTATTTTTTAACCCCCTTTTTTAACTTGGAGAGGTTATATAAATTTGGGTGTTGAATTAAAGGACCATGCAAATAAGTTTTTGTGGTCTAAATTTAGTTCTTTAAATGGTAGTTTTTTGAGAGGAGAGTTGATGCAGTTTTTCTTTGTTACTAACACAGTTTTGAACTGTAATTTAGATTCTAAAATAGCTTCCTTTTTGAAAGTATTCAACGCTGTAATATTAACCTTAGAAATCCTCCATGCTTGAAAAATGGGATAGTCTCCTTAGTAATATAAAAGGTTAATTATTTATGTTGAAAATGCTTGTAGCCCGTAGGAAAAGGTAATTATTTTTAAAGGATATAAACATTTGTGTGTTATAATAATCTTGTTAGCACTTTTATATATCAAATTCTGGCTTTTTTTCCGCCCCTTTTTCTTTTCTTTTTTTAACTCGAGGATTTCTCTACCACCATTTCCCTGCCAAAGCTTGGCATGTAAATTTGATCTTATTGGACAGATGTTTGCATTATTCAGATTTATAATTTTAAGAAAATAAGCATCATTTCCTTTTTAAATACCTTGTATTTTTTAAAAAGGGATTCTGAATTTGAGAGTCTAAGAAAGATACACAATTTTGCATCCTTTTTATCACATCACATTATTACCTTCGTTGTGTACTTAACTACATTCTGTAAAGTGTGTCTATCATGAGGACAGAGACTGTCTTCCTGTTCTGTTGGATCCAGAGTACCTGGTACTAATTGAATATATTTCGAATGAATGAGTGATGAATTGTTGGATTATGGATGATTTGCATTTTCTGTTATTTTCATGCTTTTTTTGCATTTTCCATTTTTTCCATTCTAAAATATTTTCATAACCAGAAAAAAGGTTGTAAGATTTTTTTTTTTAAAGATGATTATTTCTTAGGTTTGCTCACTGGTTTTTTAGGTATTATATAACATTTTAGGTTTTGTGTGTGTGCTTTGGTGTTTGTAGTCAGTTATGACCTCTTCCCCCCCGCCATCCCCCAAAGGTGCATTTGAAACTTTGTTCTGCAGTTCTCACACTGGCACAATATTTAGTATAAAATTGGGAGTTGTGCCTTTGTTGAAAGCCTGATTTGGTGGTCCTCGCACAGTATCTGTGACATATCCTCAGGCTTTGCTCTTTAAAACATTGTTTGCTCAAGTATATTGCTACTTAAGTACAAGTTAACCCAAGCTTATACATTGAGAGCTTTCTTTAAAACATTTGTTTACAAAAAAATTTACTTTAAAACTCTTAGGAAAAAGTCAGTATTGGTCACATCATTCTTTCAGAATGTGCTTTTCTTTATGTTGAATCTGTTGCTGTTAGTCTAATGTTAATGTTCTCTGGTCACATTCTGTTATGTCAAGTGCATCTGATTCTATATGTTACTTTGTTATGTGCTTATATCATCAAATATTTTATATTTTATCCCAAACCAAAAATAATAAGGAAGATTGTGCTGTATAAAGAAAGGAGAACTCCTATCTTAGGGAGTGAGAAATTTTGGTTATAGAGAATACCAAGTTTTTGACTTGTTGAAGTAAAATTTGCAATAAAATATATTGGTTCTTAGGTATTGAAGTTGGTGAATAATATACTTTTTAAAATAACTTTATCACTGAAACAGTTCTCTTATTTATTTTTTATTCCTGTATGCAAAATACTGAATTTCTCTTTTTAAAAAATTATGTAAGAAAAGGCAGAGGAGTGCTTAATTTTGAAATTTTAATTTCAATTTTGAATTGTAAAAATGATTTTCACAAAAATATTTATGAAAACTAAAAAAAATTATACAGTCAAGTAAGAAAATGAAGATAAGTCATTCACAGTTTTCTACTTAATTCATTTTCTGTTGCTGTAACACACTGCCAGAAACTTAACTTGAGACTTAAAGCACCATGTAGTTATTTCACAATTGCCATGGGTCAGGATCAGACACTGATTATCTGGGTCCCCTACTGATGGTCTCACCAGGCTGTATCAATGTGTCAGCCAGGCTGTGCTCTCATTTGAGATTTGAGATCCTCTTCCCAGCTCATTTAAATTATTGGCTGAATACAGTTCCTTGGCATTGGAGGACTGACGTCTTCATTTTGTTTGCTGGCTGTGGGTGGGTGGGGTCTCTGAGTTCCTAAAAACCACCCTCAGATCCTCATAGCCTTATAGCCCTTTCACATGTGTCTTCACATGGCTTTGAGAGAGCTAGTTCTCTGGTGTCTCTTCCTAGAAGGACAGTAATCCTATCGGACAAGGGTTTCACTTCTTTTTTTTTTTTTTAAGTTGTCAGATACCTTTATTTGGTTCTTATCATTAAGCCACCTACACCAATCACTTTCTATATCTCTACTGCAAGTAGCAGCAGCTATATCCAGGTCAAAAATGGAAGACACAGTGGTGGAAGACCTTGTAGAGAAAAGATAACAGGTGAATCTCTGCTTATCCAGGCTTAGGTGAAGGTAGAACAGGAGAAGTAAGTAAGTACAGTGTTCCAAAGACTCTGTTCTTCAAAGCTGAGGCCTGCAGAGGTCTGAGCTGAAGGATGCAGATACAGGCTCACAAAACTGCCCAGCTCAGCAGTCAGTTCAAACAAGGGCTTCACTCTCATGACCTCATTTAACCGTAAATGCCTCCATAAAGGCCCTATTTCCAAATACAGTTGACCCTTGAACAACATGGATTTGAACTGTCAGGGTTCACTTACATGCAGATCTTTTTCAACAGTAAATAATACAGTACTACACAATTTGTGGTTAGTTGAATCCATGGGTGCAGACGATAAGCCATATGTGGATTTTTGACTATGTGGAGGGTCATCACCCCTAACTCTCATGTTGTTCAATGGTCACTGTCTAGAATAAGATTGTATTAAAATGTAATTATTGTATTTTTCAAAATAATATATGCACTGTGATTTTTTTTTAAGTACAGAAGATTTTGTTGAAAGCTCTTCCTTCTCACCCTACGCTGGATTGAATTAAAAAATTTGTAACACCTCAGTTCTTCTGATGATGACCTTCATATCACTAAGCAGTAATTTTATACTTGTTTCTTTAATGGTCAGGTTTAGATATTATTGACATTTTGCAGCAATAGATGGGGCATTAGTTCACTTCAGCTCTTGCCCTCTGAATGTCTTGATTTTGAGTGGTGAGACACTGGAATTCTGCAGGGTAAATTATTTCCCTCTTTGGCTGTATCTTTTGTGTGTATCGTGGCTTGTGGTTTCCTCTTTATTTCATCAGTTAACCAGTTTTTTTAAAAATCATATTTCCATTTTGTGGAAATACGTGGCATCTTGTCTGCTTCTTATTCTCCTGTTCCCATTCTACTTTTTATTGTGAATTTTAAATATCTTTGAAAAATTTCCTTTTTGTCCTGCCAGTAAGAGAAAGAAAATGAAAAGGTGGTTAGCATGCTGTCTTGAATTGAAAAGTACCAAGACTGTGTTGGTTCCAGGAACTTTTGTGATTTCTGATTTTTCTTACTTCTTTGGAGATTTGAAGGATCCCTCTTAAGGCCCTAAAGGACCGTTGTTGAGGAAAAAAATGGATTGGGTTGATCACTATTTTAGGTTCACACTTCAGGTTAATTCCTATTGGACATAGAGTCAACAACCTTGAAGGCATAAGATTAACCTGTAAATGAACAAGGCTTTACCCCAGTTTGATGGATCTCCTGGGTTTGTCAGGTCACAAGTTCTTTGTTGTGCACTTCCAGAGTCAGAGGAGAATTCATTTGATATTGCTCATATTGGGAAAAGGCACTAAAATTTTTGAAGTGAAGAGTTTGCTTGAAATAACAAGCATGAAGTACTTCTGTTAAAAGTACATAAGAGGTAACATTTTGTTAAATTTTGGGTGATGAGCCTTATACAGTGTCTAGATAAGAGAGGGCATGAGTACACTTTCCAGGGACGTTGTGAGATTGTGTTTATCTAAAAACAAACAAGCAAACAAAACTATTTGTAGGATTGAGAAATAAAATTCCCCCAAATTAGAGGTTGACCTGCTTTTGTAAAAAAAAATTCTGTTGGAATATACCTTGCCTATTCATATACGAATTGTCTGTGGCTGCTTTCTTGACATGGGTGGAGTTAAGTACAGGCATACCTTGGAGATATTTTGGTTTTGGTTCCAGACCACTTCAATAAAAGCAAACACTGTAATAAAACAAGTCACATGAGTATTTTGCTTTCCCAGTGCATATAAAAGTTATGTTTACAGTGTACTGTAGTCTGTTAAGTGTGCAGTAGCATTATGTCTAAGAAAACAATGTGTATATCTAAATCTTAAAAAAAAATGATTGCTAAAAAATGCTAGCCTTCAGTGACTTGTAATCCTTTTGCTGGTGGAGGGTCTTGCCGCAGTGTCAGTGGCTGCTGACTGATCCGCGTAATGGTTGCTGGTTGCTGCATGGCTTGACTCTTCCTTTCACAGATGATTTTTCTATAGAACGTAGTGCTGTTTGATAACATTTTTCCATAGTAGAACTTCTTTCAAAATTAGAGTCAGTTCTCTCAAATCCTGCCTTATCAACTACGTTTCTGTAATATTCTATGCTCTTGGTTGTCATTTGACCAGTCTTCACCAACATAGAATTCCATCTCAAGAAACCACTTCTTTGCTCATCTGTAAGAGCATCTCCTCATCCATTAAAGTTTGATCATGAGACTGCAGCAGTTCGGTCCCATCTTCAGGCTCCACTTCTAATTCTAGTTCTCTTGCTGTTTCCACCACATCTGCAGTTACTTCCTCCACTGAAGTCTTGAATCCTTTAAAATCATCCATGAGGGTTGAAATAAACTTCTTCCAGACTCCTGTTAATGTTGATGTTTTTTCACCTCTTCCTATGAATCATGTCCTTAATGGCATTGAGAATGGTGAACCTTTTCCAGAAGGTTTTCGATTTACTTTGCTGAGATCCATCAGAGAAATCACTGTCTGTGGCGGCTGTAGCCTTATGAAATATGCTTTTTAATTAAGACTTGAAAGTTGAAATGACTCCTTGATCCATGGGCTACAGAATGGATGTTGTGTTAGAGGCATGAAAGTGTTAGTCTCATGGTGCATCCCCATCAGAGAGAGCTCTTGGGTGACCAGGTGCATTGTCAATGAGCAGTAGTATTTTCAACGGATATTTTTTTCCTAAGCAGTCGGCCTCAACAGTGGGTTTAAAATATTTGCTAGGCTATATTGTAAATAGACGTGCTGTCATCCAGGCTTTGTTGTTCCATTTAGAGAGCATGGGCAGAGTAGAGTGAGCACAATTCTTAAAGCCTGCAGGATTTTCACAATGGTGGGTGGTCATTGACTTCGACTTGTCAGTAGCTGCATTAGCCCCTAACAAGGGGCTGAACCTGTTTGAAACCTTGAAGCCAGGCATCGACTTCTCCTCTCTCGCTATGAAAGTCCTACGTGGCATCTTTTTCCAACATAAGGCTGTTTTGTCTACACTGAAAATCAGTTGTTTAGTGTAGCCACCTTCATGGATTCTCTTAGCTGGATCCTCCGGTTAACTTGCTGCAGCTTCTACATTAGCACTTGCTGCTTTCCCTCGTGCTTTTACGTGATGGAGATGGCTTCTTTTCTTAAACCTCCTGAGCCACCTCTGCTGGCTTCAAACATTCCTTCTGCAGTTTCCTCATCTCTCTCAGCCTTCATATAACCGAAGAGAGTTAGGGCCTTGCTCTGGATTAGATTTTAGCTTAAGGGAATGTTGTGGCTGGTTTAATCTTCTATCTAGACCACTCAAACTTTCTCCACATCAGCAACAAGACTGTTTTCCTTTTGTAGCATTCATGTGTTCACTGGAGTAGCACTTTTAATTTTCATCAAGAACTTTTCCTTTGTATTCACAACTTGGCTGTGGCCCAAGAGGCCTAGCTTTCAGCCTGTCTCAGCTTTTGATATGCCTTCCTCACGAAACTTAATCATTTTTTACATTTGATTTAAGGTGAGAGACATGCGACTCTTCCTTTCACTTGAACACTTAGAGGCCATGGTGTGGTTATTAATTGTTCTAATTTCAGTATTGTTATGTCTCAGGGAATAGGAAGGCCTAAGGAGAGGGAGAGAGATGGGGACGGTTGGTCAGTGGAGTGGTCAAAACACAGCGTATTAAGTTTGCCGTCTTATTTGGGTGTGATTCACGGTGCCTCAAAACAGTTTCAGTAGTAACAGCAAAGATAGCTGATCACAGATCACAGTAATAAATACTATTGAAAAAGTTTGAAATATTTTGAGAATTACCGAAATGGGACATAGCGACACGAAGCGAGCAGTACTGTTGAAAAGATAGTGCAGATTGCCACACACCTTCAACATGTAAAAAATCCATCATCTGCATTGCACAGTAAAAAGTGAAACATGCCTGTTGTGTGGTAGCAACCACATAGCCTCCAAAGCCTGCGACTTACTGTGCTAACCCTTGGCCTAATCAGTAATGGACAACTTTAAAAATCTTTATTAGAAGTAAGTTTTTTGGTAGCCAGCAGCAACTAAGACACCTCAGTTTAGATAAAAGATTCCTCACACCTTGGTTAGAAACAGATTTGATTTAAAGGAGTTGTTTTCAGATCTAAAAATATGCATTTGATGTGGTACTTATGAGTGATACAGCAGAAATTGTAAATGCTGCTAGTTGAAAGCTCACTCTTCAGTGTAGCTGAAGGGAGTTGAAAAACAATGAATGAATGAGGCTGAAAACCCAGGCTTTTAGTTTAGTATCTTTCCTTTGGATCAGTAAATCTTGAGTAGCCTAGGAAAGGGCAGGTCAGGACTGGGGACTTCATTAAATTTTAGTAGAGGCATTCTGTGAAGAATTAGATGAAATGATCTACGCCTCTTTTCTGGTGATCAGATTTAATAAAGAATTGAGATTTTTAGAGAATCTAGATAAATGGTTAGTTGGAAATATATGTGTTAAGTGAGCCTTTGGAAGGTACTTAATTGCTTAATATTTGTCTAAGTAAGTTTCTACAGTAGATGCATTTTTGAAAGGAAGGTCTCTGTTAAGAGCTGACTTTTCACACTGTTGAAACATTTTACAAGTCTAAATTACATTTTTCCTACCTCATTCTCCCCACCTCACCTTCCTCCAACACTCTCCTCCCCTAAAAAAAGGTGGGGGAAAGAAAGAAAGCAAAGCTTTTGGTCTGCTAGAATGTGGGCTAGTGCTTTATTGAAACTTTAGGGATTTACCACTTTACAAAATGAAAGAAGTTGTGTATTGTCAACCATTGGAAGAACATGATGCATCTTCATTGCCCTAGTAATATAAATTACTATGGAGTGTACCTTTCAGTACCTGAGTGAATAAATATCTGATGAATACTTAATGTTACTCATTTAAATGGAGAATGCCTACCAAAGAGAAGGATTTTAATTTCAAATAATAGCCAACCCTGTTGAGTGACTTTAGTGTGTTCTGAAAGCATATGAAATGTTTCTGTGAAACGAAGATTGTTTCTATTTTGTAAATGAGAAAACTCAGATTCGGAGGTTTAGCAGCTTTTAATAAGGTGACATAGTTGGAATTCAAATCCAGGTCTTTTTATGCAAAGTTTGTACAATGCTGTGTCTTATATATATATGTTCTATTTTAATTTATTAACAAATTCCTATTCCCTGCCAGACACTGAGGATCCAGTTTGGACTAAGTCTAAACAGAAAGGGCAGGGCTTCCGTTGTTAGAACTTATTCTCTGGTGGGAGAGGGCAGGACTGGAGCTCAGATGGGCTGTAGT